AACAAAAATAATCAACAAATTAGCGAAATATATTGCAAATGTAGCTTATATTAAATCGCCACCCGATTGCTCTCTCCTCCGCAAAGGTTTCAGTGACTATACAATGAGCTTTACAAGGCGCTTTCCGTATTTATCAACAAACTGACGTATAATTATAAAGTATATATATATATATATATATATATATATATATATATTAAGTATACTTTATAACTATACGTCAGTTAGTCGATAGTGCAATCTGATGGCGATTTAATATAAGCTACATTTGCAATATATTTCGCTAATTTGTGATTATTTTCTAATCTTTAGAGAACCGGCCAATCGCATGCAGTTATATCTACATGCTGGCCGCTTGTTTGCACTGCATGTGCTGTGCAATTGCAGCAATATAACAACACTTGCAAAAACAGTGTTAAACTGTTTGTCAGTTGTGACTTGTGACTTGTGAAATCAAATTATTATTATAATAGTTTTACAATTGCTAGTAACTTACTAGTTTATTTTACTTGAATTTTTGCATGCAATGCCTATAGATTTACTTCTCAGTAAATCTAAGAGATTCATAGGCTTATTGTCCTGAAGCCAAACTTCAATTATAAGGTATAAAGTTTTAAATTTTGGATATATAGCAGGCTCAAAATGCCTCAAATTTTAGTCATCGGTTTACATGCAAAACAATGGCACATGCATTAAAAACCGGTTTCACTTTATCCAGAATTTTGGATGAACAAAAACACAAATTGCTCTCAGGGTAATTCCCGGAATTTTAAGAACCAAATTGTATACTGTATTCAGTGTAATAGTTCTGAAATTTGGGTGATTTTTGCTTGCTGCCCAATGAAGTTGTGCCTGTATATGCCTATGTTTTTTTGTATGGCAGTAATGGTCTATCACAGACTGCACCTTTAATCGAGGGGAGGGGGGGGGGGTGGGCAGCAGTTGGATTTTCCCCCAGTGACACCTATTCTACCCCTTGTAAATTGCATAATGTTATGCAGTGTACAATCTCAAAATGCCCAAAATTGTGTTAAATTAGTACATAGAATTTAAATGACATGAGAATTAAATATGTCATGTAGTACTTATAGATTAGTTTTAGTACTTACTGCCGACAAGCTAGTAAAATTGTCCATCAATTCTAACTTTCATTAGGAAACTACATCCCTTACATTGTTGCCATTTTTTTAATAGGAAAGGGCAAGTAACGCTCCTTTATATGAAGGAACAAATGTCACCACAGCACAATGCCTGCTTCTTATCCTGTCGTTCTTGGTGCGACATTGTCTAACAAAGGAAGCCCTGAAAGATTTACAGCTTCTCCTGAATGTACTCCTACCTAATTCAATACCTGCTACACAGTACAAGTTCTTCAAGGCATTTGAAACTGGAAATTTTCAGGTAATTTTAAAATATTCCAGGGCTTGGATCTTCAGGGGGATGAATGTTTCGATTGTTGCGAGGAGCCTACATGACGTGGTGGTAGTTCAGAAAATGCCTGAATGAGGTGTCTCTCCTCTGCACCCACTTATGAGACCACTCAAGCCCCCAATTACCCTATCATTACTCGAGAGTTAGTTAACTTTTAACAACATTCTAGTATAAACGCCGCCACATCATGTAGGCACCTCGCAACAATCAAAACATTTGTCCAGGGGCGTAGGAAGCTTCTACGGAAATGTTGGCGACGGGCCAATTTTTTCACGGAAATGTTGGCCACTTTATTTCCTGGCTGAGCACACGAGTCACTTTTCAAGAACCTCTCTTTCAGAATCCAGTTGCCTCTCTGCCATAGTTTTTAAAGCATTGTCCGTCTAAACATTTTTTCACGGAAATGTTGGCGGGGGGGGGGGGGGGGGG